CATGCACATAGACACAGACAGACAGGCAGTCAGACAGTCATGCACATAGACACAGACAGACACACACTGTCAGACAGTCATGCACATAGACACACAGACAGACAGGCAGTCAGACAGTCATGCACATAGACACAGACAGACACACACTGTCAGACGGTCATGCACATAGACAAACAGATAGACAGGCAGACAGGCAGTCAGACAGTCATGCACATAGACACAGACAGACACACACTGTCAGACGGTCATGCACATAGACACACAGACAGACAGGCAGACAGGCAGTCAGACAGTCATGCACATAGACACACAGACAGACAGACACACTGTCAGACAGTCATGCACATAGACACACAGACAGACAGGCACACAGGCAATCAGTCATGCACATAGACACACAGACAGACAGACAGGCAGTCAGACGGTCAGGGATACAAATTCTTGTTCAGACAGGCGGGGACTCTGCCCGTATCACCTGTGCCCAGTGCGGTATCACCTGTGCCCAGTGCGGTATCAGCTGTGCCCAGTGCGGTATCACCTGTGCCCAGTGCGGTATTACCTTTGCAGTAGGTGTAGAGGTCCAGCACGCAGCAGGTGCCCACCACGGCCTCCAGGGGGATGATCTCGTACAGCGGCACGCGGAACAGCTCGTTGTGGTAGAAGCGCCGAGAGGGCGAGTGGTGCGTCTCATGGGGCCGGAAGTAGTGGTGCCCGAAGGCAAAGCGCTCGCCCCTGGACAGACAGAGAGAGAGGGAGCGCTCAGGGTTCGAGACGGCGTCCCCCTGGCGTCCCGCTGGCCCCCCGCGCCCCCCCCCACACCCCCCTCGCTCACTTCTCGTTCTTCCACAGCTTCTCGATGCGGAAGATGTCCAGCTTGTCCCGGTTGATGTGAGACAGGAGGCGGTAGGACTGGCGGACCGGCTGGCCGTCCGGCGTGCGCCGGCTGTCCCGCATCAGGTACACGCAGTCACCTGGGCCGGGCAGAGAGGGGACAGGTCACTCACCGAGCCCAGCGCAGCGGCTCTATCCCGTACAGGGTCTCGGGGGAGCCGGAGTCTATCCCAGCAGGCAACGGGAGCAAGGCAGGATACACCCTGGACGGGACACCAGTCCAGCACAGGGCAGACAGACACAAGACACAGACACACCAAGGCCCATTATCCCAGAAGCCAATACACCTACCAGTACTGTGGGAGGAGACAGGAGCTCCTGGAGCAAACCCATGCAAACACGGGGAGAACAGACAAACTCCGCACGGACAGCACCCCAGGGATGGAACCCAGGTCCCCGGAGCTGCGGGGCACCAGTGCTGACCACTGGAACGCTGCATGCCATTAACCAAGTCAGAGAGTGTCTAAGGACTGGAGTTCTTTCAATTCACGCAACGGTACACTTTAATTGATGAAACTGAAAAATCGATAAAAAGGCGTGAGAGACAGGTGGGAGACTCGGTAAAGGCAGGCTGTAGTGCCCATTGACCAGCAGGTGGTGCTCTTTCCTCTGGATCAGCATTTCTAATCCAATGCCTCAGTACACCAACTGAGGACACTATGCTTTACAAAGCACTGACTTTCTGACTACTGATCCCAGATCCCAGGACACTGTCAGGAAGAGTAGGAGTGTTAATACTGGTGTCCTGACGACTGGTCACTACAGACCCCAGGACACTGTCAGGAAGAGTGGGGTGTGGACCCTGGTGTCCTGACGACTGGTCACTACAGACCCCAGGACACTGTCAGGAAGAGTAGGAGTGTTAATACTGGTGTCCTGACGACTGGTCACTACAGACCCCAGGACACTGTCAGGAAGAGTGGGCAGGCGAGAGAGGAAAGCTGTAATCTCAGACAGGTGTCCTACCCTGGTGCAGCAGCAGGTCGTCCCTCAGCAGGCAGATGTAGTACACAGAGCCGGACTGGGCATAGCTGGGCTGGGGCAGCATGGGCACCTCCTGCAACACACGAACACACAGCAAGCCCCGGTCAGCGGACACACCGGAGCTCCACGCGGACTGCAGCTCGGGTTCGAGACTGGCCAGGTCCGCCTCTCTCTTTCCTTCGTGCAGCAGCACGTATACAACCAGAACACCCCCCCCCCCCTCTTAAACAAGCCAAATCAATTGGAAGTGTATGTATGCAACGGATTACGATCGCAGTCATAGAGCAGATATAGTAGTTTACAGCATACAAATACAATTTAATAATAATCCAATACAGGGAACACAGGAGATGCACAGCTCTTACAAACAGTCTCCTCTCTGTCTCTAACTGCACGAATCAAAGAATCATTCTGGTCTTATAATAATTATAATTAATAAGAATTGCTTACACTTATAAAGCGCTATTCTGGACACTCCACTCAAAGCACTTTACAGGTAATGGGGACTCCCCTCCACCACCACCAATGTGTAGCCCCCACCTGGATGATGCGACGGCAGCCATAGTGCGCCAGAACGCTCCCCACACATCAGCTATCAGTGGGGAGGAGAGCAGAGTAATGAAGCCAATTCACAGATGGGGATTATTAGGAGGCCATGATTGATAAAGGCCGATGGGAAATTTGGCCAGGACACCGGGGTTACACCCCTACTCTTTTCGAGAAACGCCCTGGGATTTTTAATGACCACAGAGAGTCAGGACCTCAGTTTTACGTCTCATCCGAAGGACGGCGCCTGTTTACTTATATACTTGCCAGACCGTTATCCCACCACTAAACGTGCTCAAAATCTCGATTTCCAGCTCCAGATCAGGCACTGCTTGCGACGTGCCCTTGACCTCTGTGCTTGCCTCTTTCACCATCACACTTGTTTCGGTTTGTGAGCCACAGCGAGAGTGACGCTGATGAAGAGCACCGGCCCGCTGCAGGGTCAGGAGAGAGCTCCCACAGCCGACCTCGGGGGCATGCCGCCCCACATTTGAATTTGTCAAATTTCCCACGTTCTTTTATTTTTCCATTATTGACTGCTTATCCACAAATTAAGTGTAAAAAGATTTCGCGTAAAACACGAGCCTGCTGTGCTTCCTATTAAGAGCTCCTGGGAAAACACAGCTGGGAAGTCACAAGGGGGCGATGTTGTGCAGTAAACAGAGAAGATCCTAAACCAGCTCAAGGCCACTCCCATACAGAGACATGGCCAATAGTGCACTGTCCCACTGGGCATTCTCAGTCACAATGATTATTGGACCCTGACTGGACCAGTGATCTCTGGACTGTAGGGTTACAGTATGACCCGGCCCAGACTGGACCAGTGA